CCTCCGAGACACTTTGGCCTTTCTCACCCTTTCTCAGGAGCCCACTCCAATCACCCTTCTGCCAAACAGCTCTTTGGACAACCTCTGAAGTCAAAGTCATGATTTTCTCTCTGTGTCTTCAACTTCTACCTCCCAGCAGCTGCTGAAATTCACTTGGAATTTTTCTTTTAAACTCTAATAAACTCTAATAAAATTGCCTTGAAGTCTCTTTCTGAGTTTGTTCTTCAATAATTTTATTAACAAGATAAAGGATCTTTAAAGGGGTCCTGGATTTCCAGTATATCCCAGGTAAGAAACATAAAAAATTCTGCTTGTAGTAGGGAAGGTAATGGAAAATATGTCAGTGCCTCTAGATTCACAAATTATGTTCAATTTACAATAATAGGGTAATATAAATGCTTTTCATGTAAGTGTTAAAGTAAGTTGAACATGTACACAAAACAAATCCATTTTCAGAAGCAGTGAACCATGTGTATCACTTAAAATATGTATGTGTTATGCATAAAGCTGATCTTTATTCTTCATGCCATTTCTCTTTGAATTCTTTGGTTCATACCTATATTCCTACTGTCAACATTCAAAAACTCATTAGGTTTGTGAACAATTGAGAATAGCTATATGCTTAGATTTGGCTTGCTTCCTTCCTTTCTCCCTAGGCAGGCTATTCCAAGTGGAACCCACATGAGAGCAATCATTGTTCATGACAGATTGATATGTATGACATGTGCTTGGATAGTGATTCACTCTATTTCAAATATTAACATAAAGATAATAGCATAACCCCCCTGGTTGAAAAATACTTAAATATGTCCCAAGAAAAAGCTGGATTCATCCTGGTGACTCAAGGAAGCTATCAAAACACCATAGAAAGTTTAAGTAGTTCAGTTTATTCTTATTCACTATCTTTTGGAAGAATATTACTATATCGTCATCTACTTTTGGATAAATTGATTATTTAGAACTCTATTCACCTGCCCTTGTCTTTGTCATGGAATTTGAAATTGAATTAGTATTACAGTTAAAAGAAGTGTGAGCAGCCGGGCGGTGGTGGCACACACCTTTAATCCCAGCACTCAGGAGGCAGAGGCAGGTGGATCTCTGTGAGTTCGAGGCTGGCCTGGACCAACAGCCTCCAAAACAACACAGAGAAACCTTGTCTTGTAAAAACCAAAAAAAAAAAAAAAGAAGTGTGAGCAAATTGTATCCTAGTGACTGTGTGCATTCTTCTCTCCTCCTGACACCCCTGGAGCTAGCCTTCTCAGACACTGCACTATTGGGTTTCCCTTTCAGAATGGCTGGTATTGAGACCTCTGTTTCTGTCTTTGTCCAAAAGTGCTGAAATGGAGAGTGGAACTGTTCACAGTAGAGAACTCTCAGCCACATAACTGTCTGCACATTCATTCCCCTGTACCTCTGTGATGGAAATGTGAAACTTCAAATCTTAGCGTATGATGTAATAATACTCATGGACTACTTTTGGTTTGCAAGGAAAGATAAAGCACTGATTAGCAGAACCTTAATTTGCAGAGAAAACATATTTAAATTGTAGGTAAAAAGAGAAATTTTTTAAAAATCTAGCATAAAAGATGCTTACAGAACTTTAAGAAGGAAAAAATATCTTAGTGACAAATATATTGAATGAGACTGAATTGAAGTATATTTGCACAAAAGACAAAAAGTATATGTATGCCAATATTATACATGGTGAAAACAAACAACAAATGACTGGACAAGAAAATATTATCAACAAAATGCAAGAAGTCACCTAGTTTACCATTGTCACTACTGTCATCTTCCTGTTACCATCCTGTTAAGAACAGCAGAACAGGGGTTCTTGTCCCCTTCCCCTTCTTTGGGGGACATGTGTTCTTCTCTTTGGGTCCTCCTTGTTTCCTAGTTTCTCTGGTGGTGTGGATAGTAGGCTGGGAGTCCTTTGCTCTATGTCTAATATCCATATATGAGTGAGTACATACCCTGCTTCTCTTTCTGTGATTGGGTTACCTCACTCATGAGGTTTTCTTCCAGTTCCATCCATTTGCTGGGGATTTCAACATTTCATTGTTTTTTTCCCTCAGTGTAATACTCCACTGTATAAATGCACCACATTTTCTCCATCCATTCTTTGTTTGAGGGGCATCTAGGTTGCCTCCAGGTTTTGACTATTACAAACAATGCTGCTAGGAACATAGTTAAACATGTCCTTGTTTTATGAATGTGTATTCTTTGGTTATATGCCCAAGAGAGGATTTGATGGATTTTGAGGTAGACTGATTCCCATTTTCCCAAGAAACCACCAGAAATTGAGGAGTGTTCCTCTTTCTCCACATCGTCTACAGCATAGACTGTCATTTGAGGTTCCTCTATTGAGAACTCTCTATTTAGTTCTGTAACCCAATTTTTAATTGGATTTTTGGCAGCATAATGGGGGAGGGGGAAGTAGGCGGGAGAGGGGGAGAAGCGGAATGGGGAGGAGAACAGGAGGAATAAGACTGGGGAGGAATTGAGAAGGGCAAGAAAGGACATGCCTTGACAGAGGGAGCCAAAGAAGTTTGGAGAGAGGTCTGGCATAGGGGAAAAGTTAGGAGATCCACAGGGATGACCCCAACTAAGAATCTAGGCAGTTGTGGAGAGGCTGCCTTTGATGCCCTTCCCCTATAATGAGATTGATGACTACCTTGGTTGCCATTCCAAGAGCCTTCAGCCTGTAGCTGATTGAAGCAGAAACAGACACAGCTAAAGATTGAGCCATACTCCTGGAATCCAGTTGTAGAGAGGAAGGAGGGGTGAGCAAAGGAACCAAAACTGTCCTGGAGAAACCCACAGAAACAGTTCACCTGATCCTAGTGAGAGCACAGGGACCCTAGTCATAAAGCTGGGGAACCAGAGTTGAACCAAACCAGGCCCTCTGATTGTGGGTGCCAGCTAGGAGGCTCCTCTAACAATGGGGCCAGTGTTATTCCCTAGAGCACAAATGGACTTTGAGAGCCCATTCCCTATGATACTATTGTAGCCCAGTTACAATAAAGACAGCCTAGGCCATCCCCCAAATGACATGGGGGACTTTGATGGTCCCCCTTGGAGGGCCTTTCTATCCTTTGAGACTGGGTGGGGCATGGGTTGGGGCTGTCAGTGGGGAGCATGGGAGAATGGGAGGACAAGGGAGTGGGGGGATTAATATATAAGTAAGAGCACTTCTAAAAAAAGAAAAAGAAAAATGAAGAGCAGAACAGGCATCATTTAGAACTATGCTATTCACATGAAGTGGAAGTGCTGGAACACACAATGGAGCCTGTTGTTCACTGACTTCAGTTTGTGGTCTAAATTGGAGTTGCCACGACACCCCATTGTATCATAATTTCATTTTAATTGTATTTAATTTGTTTTACTTCAACCTTAAATGCTTTCTTTTGCATTCCTAATAATGGCATTAAAAATTGAATAACCAATGGAGTGTAATTAACAATACTAAAAAATCACCAGCAAAACTAGTAAAAATCACTGTCACTGGATAACACTTTCATTACTATAAAACTGTCTTGAGCACAAATGTCCTGAAAATTACAAAATTAAAAAATGTCTGAACTTAATGTTTTTTATTATATTTAAACCGTTTTTTTCATTTATGTTATATACCAAGCAATGTTTTACCTCCCTCTTCTCCTCCTGCCCCCCTCTGTTAGCCATCCCCCCACCCCCTACCCTGCTTCCCATCCATTCAGAAAGAAACAGGACTCTTATGAGTTTGAACAAAATAAAGGACATCAAGTTAAGGCAGACTCAGGTTCCTCCCCTTGCCTCAAGGCTGGGCAAGGTAATCCAGCATGGGAAACAGGTCTCTGAAAGCAAGGTAAGCACAAAGAACAGGTCCTGATCCCACTGCTATGAGCCTTATAAACTACACAACTGTCATACTAATGCAGAGGGCCTAGGTTGGTTCCATGGATGCTCCCTTATATGTTGGTTCAGAATCCATTAGTTACTATGAGCTCAGGTCAGTAGTCCCTGTGGGTCCCCTCCCCTATTATGACTCCACTTGCTCCTATAATTCCTCCTCTCTTTCAGAGGCCTCGCAGCAGAGCTTGGCCCAGTGTCTAGCTGTGGATCTCTACATCTGCTTCCATCAGTTACTGGATAGAGAATCTCTGATAACAATTAAGGTAGTCACCAATCTGATTGCAGTAGATGGCAACTGTAACACAAATACTAATTGGCCTTAATAATAGAACCCAGTGTCCGTCATAATAGTAATGATGAAAGCTCAGAGAATCAGAGTAGCCAGCCACTAGTTCTTATTTCTATTAAATCTTCAGACCAAAGTGGGCAAGATCCCGTCTCCAGGAATCCTCAGATTGAATCCCATATCTATGAATCCTCAAAATGAATGCAATGAATTCCTGTCTCCTCTTGCCTTATATTCCTTTCTTTACCCAAACACATGACTCTGGTCTCCACCTCCCTATTACTGGAATTAAAAGTGTGTGTCACCACTGCCAGGCCTCTATGGCTAATTAGTGACTTCTTCTGCACTCTGACTACAGGCAAGTTTTATTTGCTAAAATACAAACAAAATATCACAGCTAACGTTAACTTAGACACATAATTTTCGTCAAGGCTCCTACAGTATACAATTAAAAAGTAAAGACCACATTAATTCTAAAATCTGCTCACATGTATATTTTAAAGTAAATGATGTATGCTATATATTTCAAAGTATTACTTGCAAAGGTTATAATCAACGGAAAATTATCTGCTCACATGTATTTGGTTTTAAAGACAAAGTCTGATATAAGGTATCTTATGTTTAACTTTAACAGTTAGGGCCATTGTAACCAAATTTATATAAGATTAGTTTTAAATTTACTTTTTGAAGATACAGTAAAATCATTTTAATTTCTTAAAAACTTCATAGAAGGACCATTTATAAACTACATTATGCACATAATTTTGTCAACTATATTAGAAAGTCTGTTACTTAAGTGAGGCTGAAGTAAGACACACTATTTTCTCATTAAATCCTTGAACAGATTGTTGCCATGGTAACAAACAGACCCATCAGAGGGAAATCATTCAAGTATATATTTTTACAGGTGACTCCCACTCACACATCTTTATTTCAGCCAATTCTATAACTAATTATCAGAACCAAAACAGACATTTTTGAAAAAAGATACATCCATTGGAAAGGAATTTTGTGCCAAGTAGTATTAAAGCTCTTAATTTGCCAGAATGATGAAGGCCACTCACTCCTGGTGGGAAGATCTTATGTGTCCCTCACCTGGAATGGAACAATGACATTCCTGTTCATTATACTTTACTAGTCTCTGAATGTCCTCTCTCTTATCTTTATACTATGTAGGAATTTACCTGAAGTGTGTGAGATGAACATCTTATAGAACCTATCCAGGTTGGGGATAAAGGTAAGTCAAAGCATATGTCCATACCATGCATGATATCATGAGTTCAAATTCCAAAACTATATAAATACTATATTCAGAACACAGAGCTTTGATTAAACCATCTTCTGAAGCCTTTCCTTAACTGATGAGTAAAGATAAAATATTTATTTCATGAAAATTTTAGAGTTGCCTTTGTACAAATTAAGTTATGTTATCAGTTAAAAGAAACTGGAAAATCCATTGGGTATATGCCTAAGAGTGGAATTGCTGGATCTTGAGGTAGACTGATTGCCAATATCCTGAGGAACTGCCATACTGATTTCCAAAGTGACTTGCAAGTTTGCACTCCTACCAGCAGTGGAGAAGTGTTCCCCTTTCTACACATCCTATCCAGCATAAACTGACATTTGTGTTTTTGGTTTTAGTCATTCTGACAGCTGTGATGGTATCTTGTAGTTGTTTTGATTTGCAATTCCCTGATGGCTGAGGATGTTGAGAAATTTCTTAAGTGTCTTTCAGTCAGTTTAGATTACTCTTTTGAAATTTTCCTAATTCTGTACCATACTTTTTAATTGGATGTTTTGGTGTTTTGATAACTAGTTTCTTGAGTTATTTGTATATTTTAGAAGTCAGCCCTCTGCCAGATGTGGGGTTGGTGAAGATCTTTTCCCATTCTGTGGGCTGCCATTTTGTCTTCTTGATTGTGTGCTTTGCCTTGCAGAAACTTCTTTTTTTCAGGAGGACCCATTTATTCATTGTCATCTCAGTATCTGTGCTACCTGTATAATGTTCAGGAAGCAGTCTCCTGTACCAATTTGTTCAAGGGTACCATCCACTTTCTCTTTGAAGAGGTTAAGTGGCTAGTTTATTTTAATTTTAGAGACACTCTTATTTACATATCCATCCTCCCATCCTCCCATGCTTCCCACTGACTCCCCTACCCACTCACTCACTATCCAGGGACAGTGAGACCCTCCATGGGGGGATCATCAAAGTCCATTGCATCATTTGGGGGAGGGGCCATGTATTTTTCTCTTAGGGTCTTACTTTTTTCCTAGTTTATCTGGTGGTATAGATTATAGGCTGGTAATCCTTTGCTCTATGTCTAAAAACCATATATGAGTGAGTATATACCATGTTTGTCCTTTTGTGACTAGGTTATTGCACTCAGGATAGCTTCTTCTACTTCCATCCATTTGCCTGGAAATTTCAAGATTCCATTGTTTGTTTGTTTTATTTTGTTTTGTTTTTGTGCTTTGTTTTGTTTTGTTTTTCCAATGAGTAGTACTCCATTGTGTAAATGTACAACATTTTAACTATCTATTCTTCAGTTGAGGGGCATCTAGATTGCTTCTGGGTTCTGGCTTTTACAAACAACTTTGCTATGTCCTTGTTGTATGCATGTGCATTCTTTGGGTATATGCCCAGGAGAGGAATTGATGTTCTTGAGGTAGACTCATTCTTGTTTTCCTGAGAAACCACGATACTGATTTCCCAAGTGGTGGTACATGTTTGCACAACCACCAGCAATGGAGGAGTGTTCCTCTTTCTCTGCAACCTCTCCAGGATACACTCATTTGTGTTTTTGATTTTAGCCATTCTGACTTAAGTAAGATTGTATCTCTGAGTTGTTTTGATTTGCATTTCCTTGATTGCTAAGGATGTTGAGCAAGTTCTAACTTTCAGCCATTTTAGATTCCTCTACTGAGAATCCTCTATTTAGTTCTGCAGCCCACTCTTTAATTGGATTGTTTATGTTTTGGCGGGTGGCTTGTTGAATTCATTGTATATTTTGGAAATCATCCCTCTGCCAGATGTGGGGTTGGTGAGGATTTTTTTCCATTATGTAGGCTGTTTTTTCGTCTTGTTGACTGTGTCCTTTGCCTTACAGAAGCTTCTCAGTTTCAGGAGGTTCCATTTATTAATTGTCTGTCTCAATGACTGTGTTACTGTTGTTATGTTCAGGAAGCAGTCTCCTGTACCAGTTTGTTCAAGAGTACCTCCCACTTTCTCTTCTAAGAGGTTCAATGTGGCTGGATTTATATTGAGGTCTTTTATCCATTTGCTCATTCATGCAACAAGAACATCTGTTCATCTATGTTAATAGCAGCATTATTTGTAATAGCTAGAACCTGGAAAAAACCTAGATGCCCCTCAGTTGAAGAATTGATAGAGAAAATGTGGTACATTTACACAATGGAGTATTATTCAGCAGAAAAAAACATTAGAACCTTGAAATTTGAAGGCAAATGGATAGAACCAAAAGAAACCATCCTGAGTAAGGTAACTAAGTCACAAAAAGGCAAACATGGTATATACTCACTCATAAGTTGATATCAGACATAGAGCAAGTGATTTCCAGTCTACAATCCATACCTCCAGAGAAGCTAGGAATACAAGAAGGACCATAAGAGAGACATTCATGTTTCCCCAGAGAAAGGGAAAGGGACAAGATCTCTTGAGCAAATTGGGGAAAGGGAGCTAGGAGAAAGAGAAGGGGAAAAGGGGGGGGGGAGGATGTCATGAGGGACTAGAAAGATTGAGTATGAGGAAGAATAGAGGAGAGCAAGAAAAGAGACACATCAATAGAGGGAGCCATTATAGGTTTAAAGAGAAATCTGGCACTAGAGAAATGTATGGAGATACCCAAGGATGACCCTAACTAATAATCTAAGCAATACTGTAGAGGTTAACTTATATGCCATCCCAGAGCATTCATCAAGTAATTAATAGAAGCAGAAGCAGAGGAGTGATGAGTAAAGAGGTCAATACCAGACTGGGGAAACCCATAGAAACAGCTGACATAAACAAGGGGGAGCTCATAGACCCCAGACTGACAGCTCAAATGAACATAGGACAGAATCAGGCCCACTGAACAATGGTGTCAGTTAGGAGGTCTGGGCAGTCTATGGGGCCTCAGGTAGTAGAACAGCATTTATCCTAGTATACAAATGGACACTGGGAGCACATTCCCCATAGAGGGATACTATTTCATCATAGGCACACAGGGGAGGGCCTAGGCCCTGCCCCAAATGATATGCCAGATTTTATTATCCCCCATGGAAGGCCTTACCCTTCTATGGAGCAGAAAAGGAATGGAATTGGGGTTATTGCAGGACATGGGAGGATGGGAGGAAGAGGAACTTGGATTGATATATGAAATAAAACTTTTTTCTAATTTAAAAATAAACAAAAATGAATAAAAAGAAACTGGTTCAAAATTATACATGTCAAGTTCTCTCTTTTTAAAGTTTATTTACTTAATTTAGAGACAAACTTATTTTACACATCACTCCTAGTTTCCTCTCCCTCCTGTCTTCTCATGCCTCATACTGCCCCTCCCATTCCAACCCACATTGCCTCCCCAGGAAGGGTGAGACAGTCCATGGGGTATCATCAAATTTTGTCCCATAATTTGGGGGAGGGCCTAGGTCCTCCTCCATGTATCTGGGCTAACTCTATTGACATATCTCTTTTCTTGCTCTCCTCTATTCTTCCCCGACTCAGTCTTCCTGATCTTTCATGTTCTACTCCCCCCGTATTTTCCCCTTGTCTTTTGCCTACTTCCCTCCATCCTACCGTCATGCTCCCAATTTGCTCAGGAGTTCTTGTCTCTTTACCCTTTTCTGGGACACCATATACGTCTCTCTTAGGGTACTCCTTGTTTCCTAGCTTCTTTGGAAGTATTGGTTGCAGGCTAGTAATCCTTTGATATTTGCCTAATGTTCATATATGAGTGAGTACATACCATGTTTTTCTTTTTGTAACTTGGTTACCTCACTCAGAACGGTATCTTCTAGTTTCATCTGTTTGCCTGTGAATTTCAAAATTCCATTTTTTCCACTGAGTAATACTCCATTGTGTAAATGTACCACATTTTCTCCATCCATTCTTCAGCTGAGTGGCATCTAGGTTGCTTCCAGGTTTTGGCTATTACAAATAATGCTGCTATAAACATAGTTGAACAGATGTCCTTGTTGTATGAATGTACATCTTTTGTGTATATGAATTAGAGTGGAATTGCTGGATAGAATCAGACACCCCACAGATAAGCACTGAGCCAAACTCCTGGAATTCAGTTGTAGAGGCAGGAGTGATAAGTAAAAGGGTCAAGACTAGACTTGGGAAACACACAGAAACAACTGATCTGAAAAGTTGGAGTTCATGGTATCCAGACTGATAGCTGTGAAACCAACATAGACCCAAACCTAGTCCCCTGAATGTGGGTGTCAGTGAGGAGCCTTGGATAGTCTATGGGGCCTCTGTTTTTATCCCTAGTATACAAATGGACTTTGGAATCCCAGTACTCATAGAGGGAGACTCTCTCAGCCTAGACACATGGGGAGGGCCTAGACCCTGCTCCAAATGATATGACAGACTTTGATGATCCCCCACAGAAGTCCTCACCCTCCCTGGCGAGCAGAAAGGGGTTGGGATGGGGTTTTGTGGGCCATGGGAGGATGGAAGGGAGAGGGAACTTGTTTGATATGTAAAATAAGATGGTTTCTAATCTAAATATAAAAATGGGGTACAGAACTAAATAGAGGATTCTCAATAGAGGAATCTAAAATGGCCAACAGACAGTTAAGAAATTGCTCAACATCCTTAGCCATTAGGGAAATACAAATCAAAATAACTCTGATATACCATCTTACACCCATCAGAATGACTAAAATCAAAAACATCAATGACAGTTTATGTTGGAGAGAATGTGAAGAAAGGAGAATGTTCTTCCATCGCTGGTGCGAGTAGAAATTTGTGCAGCCACTTTGGAAATTATTATGGGGTTTTTCTCAGGAAAATGGAAATCAGTCTGCCTCAAGACCTAGCTGTGCCACTCTTGGGCATATATCCAAAGGTACACATTCATACAAGGACATTTGTTCACCTATGTTCATAGCAGATTTTTTATAATAACCAGAACCTGAAAGCAACCTAGATGTCTTTCAACTGAAGAATGGATGAAGAAAATGTGGTATATTTACCCAATGAAGCAATGGAATATTGAAATTCAAGGCAAATGGATGGAATTGGAAAAAACCATCCTCAGTTAAGCAACCTAGTCACAGAAGGTCTCTTTTAATAGAAATTTTATCCCTGGTTCTTGATCATCATATAGCCTAATGGCACTAAGTAAATGCACATGTATTATGGAGGAAATATTTTCTTTCTTATTTTAGTTACTGTATTTTGAGATTTTATTCTTATTTGAGCTTGAGTTATACCATATGTATTAGAAATAGCTTATCTTTGTTGGATTCTCTTGATTTTATAACACCTACAACAAACTTTCCTCATGATAAACTTTTAAGATACTATCACTGGTATAAATACTTATAATTGTAAAAAATTATATAACTACAATTTTATTTCCATAATTGTAAATAAATAATTGTATCCTGATGAGTAGAAAGCAGAAATGTATTATAAAATTTTATTTATTTATAAATAATAAATTAAATGATGAAATGAATAAATAAAATGATTTTTGAAACTAAATTAAAGCTGAGGTTGAAATTAATGAAGACTTCCGTAGCAAACAATGCTGATAGGGAAACAATATCCATTCACCTCTCAGTTTATATATACTTGCTAAGTAAAGTATGATAGGGCTATCAGAAATGACATTATTTATTAGGCATGGCTTAAATTAAAAGTTATTGTCTTATCTACTGTTATGTTTATAACAGAGATAATTTAAATATAACCTAATTTATTATAAAACTTGAGAAATTTGGAGAATATTTAGCTATTTCTTCATTCTTTGGGGGATGAAACATGATACCTTTTGAAGAGACAAGTTTACAGAATCCTCTGAAATTGAGACAGCATGTATTATTGACAGAATTTTACATGTTCACTGTCTCGAACTAAATTATTTGATTACATCTTTGTAATTACTGCATTACTTTTACCATATTTTTTGACTATATTATGTTCATAATTGTTTTAATTTTCAAAATCTCAGTAATAAGGATTTAATTAAATATCAAAAGGCAACTATCATTACTTTATAATTGAATAATAATTTGTGCATTAACATAATAAAGACAGATGAAAAAGAGACCTGTTCCAGAGAAGTCTACTATGGGGCCAGATGTGGACATCATGGGATTACATATGAAGAGCAAGAAAACTACTAATAAGTCTTCCATGGGAAGGGCTACACATACCATTGGGATTATATTTGAGGAACAAGGCAAAGCTGAAGATAATTTGAAAGATACTTAACATTCATTATCTCCTCTTATAAAATTCAAGTGCTTTTGAGTAACGCAAGTAGATGCTTCATTATTTTTAGGCCCTTGCTCATTCTAGGATATTTTCATTTCATTTAATCGTTACAAGAGAATTATAAGAATGTTGTCTCAGGATAACTATGTCCTACTATTTTCTTAGCAGTAATATTTCAGTGCCCACAGTTTTGCAGCAAGGTGTGTTATTCAAGGCTTATAGATATTTACATAACTTTCATTTTGTCATATAAAATATCTAATCTCAGTGAGACCATTCTCTCACTTAATGAATTTTCTAGTCATTACCATGCTGCATAATAATTTCAGTGACAGATTATCTGATTTCTTCCATTCATCAATGCTTTGACTAACAAAATATATCTTGAGCTATATCCATGAAATCAGCCTTCATCTTTGGAGTTGTGGCCAGGGTACAGTTTAAAAGTGTCTACCCAGTTACATGTGTTGTGAGCTTGATGCCCAGTGTAATGATGTATAGAGCTTTAAAAGTGGGGCCTAGTGGGTGATCATTAATGTAACAGGGTCTAGACCTTAGGAGGCTCCCAGACTTTAGCTCAACTGACTCCATGATGGAAGTGCCATTAGGCAGTAAAAGTCAGTATGTAGACAGTACCACCTGCCAAAACTAAAACAATAACTTAATCCATCAAGGTCTGCACTATTTTGAGAAAGTCTCCAAATGTACTAACCTTGCTTTTTAGATTCTGGAGTTCTGCTTTTAGCTAACTGTTCTTGTTCACAGACTATTTTTCGTGTTTCTGTGTCTGTGTGTTCTTAAATGTTCAACCTGGGAGAGACTTAGAACTGCACTGGGATACTGAACAAGTGTATAGTCACCAGCAGGCTAATAAAGACTTTCTATTGGTTCAAGTCCATGTCTGAGCAATCTTCTCAGGTAAACATTCGACCACATTAGGTTATAAGGGATACATTTTTTTAAAGTTATTTGTTAGCTGTGAAGTTATTTGTTCCAGAATCTCTTCTACTCTCTATCATGTCATGAGAGCTTTCGCTATTGGATGCATTCCTTGATTACATCAACAATTACAAGGCCTTTTCTTTGCTGGGGTTCTCTGAGGCTGGTGCTTTTCATACAGGCATCCAACAAAATGAATTGAAACCATCTATTGTGCTATAATATACTCAGCCTTAAGGATACTCTTATATGAACACAAAACATAGTGGTCATTCAATCAATATTTTCTACTATAACAAAATGTCTCAGAGCAGTTTGTCATCAATTTACTTTTGAAAACCTTGATTTTATCCTTTTGATAATTTTAAGGATAGATGTTTGTGAATTTTATGCAAATCACTCATGATGTAGGAATTACAAACATATTCATTCCAGTTTTTAAAATGCCAAAACTTTGTGTGCTCACTTATCTTTTGTTTGTGAATTTGTTTTCAATTTATCAAATGTATTATCTACAGAGATGTCCTCCTAATACTTTTTTATTTATTCTTATTGTAGAACATATGGTGAGCATTGATTTATTCTCCAAAGTCATTGAATATTTCGTTTTGAGTATTTGACCTTTTCCATAAATAATTGATGACATATTAATTATTATTTGTAGTACAAGCAGTATAGTGAGATGAATATTTAGCTTTCAAATCTCATATTTCAAAATTTAATTCAATGATTAAATTTTATATGCATATATAAAAGCATATGTATACATACATAGATAGTTTGGATCACATATATAGATAAGTAGGATCTATTATTTTGTATGTAAATGAATTTCATTGTTCTTTTCTAGATAGAAACTAACTATTCAGTGCTTGATTTTATCCTTCCTAAGACACTATGCTTCTGACACTAGAAGAAGAAATGCACATTTTTCTTCTTACACCCAGAATTTACTCTGGAAAGTACTGTTGTCATTGTCAGCAGAAACTATCAGTTGGCAGAATCCATTTCAAATTCCTGAGGAAGCAGCTAAAGAACCCGGCCTGTCTTCCATATTTTATGAGAAGCATTTACTTAGTACTATCTAAGATGTATTTTTACCACGGACAGTACACATTTCCTTTCAGATGGTCACGGTAGGTATACCAAAGTTTAAACACCTTTTATGAACATGGAGATTGCACAGAAGTGGATATAAGGCTAATGCAAATCAGTTGCTTTTGTTGACATCAGTATACCTGGGAACACAGTCTGAATCCGCTGAGGCTCTCAGGATGAGGGCTACACATAAACTGTGATGCTGGCTCCAACTTTCTGTACTAGCAGCACATCATGGTAGCAAGCAGCCCTGGAGAATCCACCTACAAGGGTAGGAAGAAATGTAAAGCTTTTGATTCAATCGAACCAGGTTCAATCCCTGATGCTTTTATTATTCCTTTCTGATGTGGTCAAATTACTCACCTTCATGTAACCTCAATTTATTCTTGTAGTATGTGTCATTGTATTTATAGGATTGTCTTGATAATTACAAATTCAGTCAAAATCAGATCATTATTGAAAACCAAAAGATTCTTTATGACCTTAATGTGCATACTCTGGTCAAGTGCAACAAATGGATAATGATCCACAATAGCTTCTCTTGAGAACTTGTTTGAATTTGGTTCTTAAATAGTTTGCAGTACAATGCTTATCTTTCAAATAAAAGAGCTGCATTTGTTGATGGGATTACTTCCAGAACCTGTAAATTTAGAGGAAAACATTTTGCTGGTCATTGTCAAACTGTGTATTAATGATTGAAAATAATATCAAATTATCTTGATTAATGTTAATAGAAACATAGTCCATTAAATACTATAAATTTAATTATCATGACTTCTACTTCTAAACTATATTTAAGCAGTGAATGTTGTCTCTTGCCTGTAACTACAACATGGAGGCAGAAGACTTGCAATGAATTCTAGTCCAGCCTGAGCTGTGAATAGAGACCATAGCTCAAGAAAAACAATGTAAATTTAAACAATACTTATCACCTGATTTGGAAAATTTAATGATCTTTTATCCTTCTAGAAAATTAAAATTCTTTATTAAGCAAGAAGTATTATTCTCTCCCTTAGTCAATTTCAAAAAATGCATGTTGTAAATGCTTAAAATGTTTTCAAGCAACATATAATTTCTCATGACTAAACCAATTTCAAATATAGGGTCATCTAATTTAGATATTGGTGATTAGCATTTGTCATGAATATCTAACATATATGGTGTTCATTGTATGGGATACCTATATACCATGTATCTACCCAGAGGAGTAACCAACACATCTTTTTGAAAGAAGTCTAATTTATACATGCATACATACACACACACACACACACACACACGAACACACATGCACACACATATATATGTATATATATCACCTATATAAATATACATACATATTTACTTGTCTAATTTATCTACCATATACTTACCAATCTCTGTCTAACTCTACACTATACATCTGTCTATCATCTGTCTATCTGTTTGTCTTCCTCATCGTTAAGTGCTTTTTGCATATCTATGTTTCATCTTAAAATCTACTGCTCACACAGAAATACACACCAGACAGATACCAATTTAAAAAACAGAGGCAATTTATTCATGTATAAAATATTTTGGGGAATATTGAGGAAGATTAATACACATATGATATTTTATTAGGGAGAAATCACTTACCTTAGAAGCCAAGAACCCAAGGTCAGCACACTGCTGCTGTCTGAACTCTGATCAGAACCCCAAGAGAAAATTATTCCCCTTCCTCTCAGCTTTTTATTCCTCACATCTTCTACGTACCTGTGACCATGCCAAAATGGGCGTGATCTACAGGTACCTAAGATCTCTCCCCACATAGGATATTTCAAAGACACAGTTATAACATACCCCTAATAGTTTATATTATTTTGAAGTTTTAAAATTATTATCTTAATAACTAAGTGGATAAAATTGTATCATCACTAGGTATTATTATGTTGGTGCATTAACTTTCCAATTAATTTGTTATAAATACTTTCACATATCTTTGTTACATTCATATAGATGTAAATAATACTAGTCAAGTTACAGCTTCATTTGTGAAAATGTTTATATTTTAGTAACTGTATATGCCCCAATGGATAACATAGTTGCATACAAAGAAAGAAAGAAAGAAAGAAAGAAAGAAAAAGAAAGAAAGAAAGAAAGAAAGAAAGAAAGAAAGAAAGAAAGAAAAATAAGGTCAGAACTGGGGGGAGAGAGAGAGGGGGGGAGAAAGGAAGGACAAAGACATGGTTTGTCCTACATTTAAAAAGACAGTGCCTTATTATAGAGACAGAGGAAGTGATGACTGGCATTAGACTCTCAGAGGAACACTAAAAGTAAGGAAAACACATTCATATTAAAGACATTTATATAATTTTTCAGACAGCTGCAAGGGCTCTAAATACTTTTTCTTTGTCTAGAGACAGTAGATTTGTGAGCATAAATATTGACAACAGAGACTGTCTTGTATAACTTCTTGGCTTTACTATAAGTTCATGAACTTACAATAATTTGATCCAAGCCCTTTATGAGTAAATGAATTAATAAATAGAAAAAAACTAGTGGTATTTTTTTTCAGGTACAACAGCATCTGGTAAAGAGTACGTTTTAGAAATAGATTTAAGTAGAAGTGAATGCCACTCAAAATAAATTTTTCTATCTCTACTAAGCATATCTCTTAAAGCTATGATTTCAACTGATATGGAAAGTTCTATTTTAGAAGCTTTGTAGGCGACAGAATGAATGAATTTTAAGTAAGGAAATAAAGTCACAGGATTAAAGTGTACTCATTCAATAATGAAATATGTATATGCTATCTCATAAATGGTGTTGCATCACATGCCTAAATAGTAGTGAAATAATGTAGGGAAATAGCGACATTTAAGTGGACAATCAAATTTATTATTAGACGAAGCATTTTGATTTTCATATAATTAAGACATATCCATTGAATGATCTGTCTGGAAATGTTCCTTTAATAAAGAACCTAGTCCTTGACAGGATATATTGATGAAATCCACTGAAGCACAATTGATTCGTCTGATGCTGATGCCTTCCCTGGGAAGCTTCATAAGTCTATGTTTGTGAGTCACCACAAGTATTCTAAATGTTATTTTTCATGATTTGCCAATTAACCTCACATTATTACATGATTTTTAAAATTTCTACATTTCCATTCACTATACATTATCATAAACGTGAAAGATACTATATATCTTTTTTACATAAAACCACAATTGCAAAACGTTTAAGCAGACAATTTCAATTGCCTACTGCATTTCAAGATTAAGTACATAGAAATAAAACTTCAAATTTTCTAAATCACTCACCATATGGGCATATTACCCTGTGAATATATAAACTGCTTTACTTAAAATATGCATGAAAGTTATTCCCTATTTAAACAATATGTATTTCAACACTATGTAACAATAGATTTCATGACAATTTAAACATCTGAAATACAATTTAAATCCAATTAAGCAATGTTTTTGCTTTGACAGTTCATGAACAGAAATTATCTCTACCTATATGACTTAATCTGAATAGGATTTACTAATTTAACAATGGCCTCCTTTTACAAGGATGTATTTGTCAGTTAACACAACACAAGAAAAGAAATTAATACATTTTCGAAGTTGGAATGTAGGGATGATTTTGGAAGAGTTTTGGAGATGGGAAACTGTGATCATATATATTATACAAAACTTTTGAAAGAGAAAGGGAACTCAAGAATAAAGAAATTCAAAATAAACTATGCACTCCATTAAAAATCACAAGTTCTTTGGACAAAAGACTAATTTGTGTCAATATAAAATATTTCCACATAATCTATGTAGAAAGATTAACCTTACTTATAAAAATCATCCTGGAATAACAGAAAGGATGATATTTCAAGAAAGCAGGGCCGAACACCCAAAGTATCTTATGTGAGTACAGAAAACTTTAGCAGCAAATGCAATTGACTAGCAGCACTAAATGTGCCTGAATCAGAGATGAAACAATCTAATATGTTCATGAGCAAAGCTTCTATACATTGGACAACAGATTAACGAAGTCATGTTACTCACATGCGATTTATATTCATCTCCTTTCCTTTTGGTGCTTCCTGATTTTTCATCTTGCTATTGAGACCTCGGTTTAGTGACTTCTGCAATGAATGAATCTTCTTGAACCTTTCAGCACGAGGTTGTAACAAACACAGATGTATGTCAAAGGTGCTATTTTGAGGAGAATAATAAACAGTTAAACAATAAGATAGTTTAACTTATCCAAGGCTTTAATTATAAAAAATCATAATATAGTTTGAATATACTTAGTCATGATGTCATAATTTGTCTTCTAAATTCGCATCTTGTGTCCATCAATATGACATATCTCTGGGTGTCTCATTCTGTTTTGAATAGTTACATATTTCCTCTAAATCATAAAAATATTTCACAGCATTAATCTGAATACCATTGTTGCATTAATCTTTAAACTTATACCAGAATTATATAATGAACTACATTTTTTCACTTTTCATACGATATGTCCTTTCAATACTTCTTGGTGAAGATCCTCCACACCTTATTAACCACGCAGCTTGCAACTTCATGTTGTTCCTTGTCTTTCTCAAAAAACAAAACTAAACAGAAACAAGCAAATAAACAGGAAAATACCACAAACACCCAGGAGAAGAGAAGAAATAATCACAAAAGCCTAATAAATTAAAATACCCCTAAGAAGGATTCTGTCTTGTGAGATGCTGCCTAAACCTGAGACACTACCTTCAATGTGCTTGATACACTCAGTGTTACTCCCAGGGAGAAAACTAATTTCTCCTACACCAGTATGTATTAATAACCAGTGATTTCTTGGTTGTGTGTGTATGTTGTTGTTGTTTTTTTTTTTGTTTTGTTTTAATTTTTGTCTTTTGCCCATTTCTGTTTTTCCATTCTGGGTTCTTTTTGTGAGCTGCCACATGCTACATGGGTTTGTATGTGTATCAGTCCTGCTGTAGGTGGTTGAACTGCTCCCTTAGTGTCATCTATGACATCTGAACCTTAACATTTTTCAGAAAGATTTGACAGAAACAGCCAATTTAGGACTGAGTGTTTCAGGGTCTTTCACTCTCTTCGTATTGTCCATGTGTGAGTTTCTGTGTTTAGCTCCATCTACTGATGGAGTAAGCATCTTTGATGGAGGCTGAGTAATGAACAGATCTATAAATATCAATATGCTATTTGAAGCCATTTTACTGTTAAGTTCATTAAGCAGCATAATAATAGGTTTTCCCTATTTGATCTGAGATTCTTGATCTCATTAAAAGTGCCATGCATGCATTTCATCTCATCCAGATGAACTTAAAATTGTTTGTAAAGATGTATGTTTACTCCATTAACATTTGTGCCATTATTAAACCACTATATCCTGAAGGTATGTCACTATTATTTGTTGAAGCCCTCAGGGGTGGGCAATATTGATGAAGGAATTTTTTTAAAGACTTCTGGGATTACAGTAATTTACTTCCAAAATCAAGAAGGGAGCTATTGTGGACATCACTGCCAATTTGATTTGAACAATAATGGAAATAAAGTGTCATTTAAAGTCCTGTCTAGATTCCAAAACTGAAATATTCAAGTAACTAAGATGTCTAGCTATTTTTTATATTGTATGCTCAATATTTATTTAACAGTTGGGGATAAAATAGTCCTGTGTTTCAGTGGATGGTGTATTTAAATCAGTGAAGATATATTTCTATATTTGGTTTACTTTTATTGCAGTTTAGAAAGCCTATATACTCACTGAACATCAATTCTTTGTCATATTTATACTTGTTAGGATACTGGTGAAATTGTAAGGCAGCAGAATTCAAATTGTGAATGTTGAATAAATATAAAAGTTAGATAATGATGATTATAAATTTTGGGAATATTATTCTTGATTTTTCTATTAACACAGTAACAGCTTTGTTAAGTGTTCAGAATTCCTCTCTTTCCAGAAAAAAATAAGGCTATATTCACCCTTGTCTCAACAGCACATTCAGAAAAATGAAAACTGTAAATTACTTTTTAAAGTATTTTCATCTTGTAATTGGGTGAACCAAGATCATCTTTGCCTAATGATATTCACTAGGGACTAGAGAATATTCTTAGGTTATGGTAATTATTCTGTTGAAAATCTAGCATAGCCCTAGGAAATCTGTTGAGGAGACTTATATAGCTTAGGAAAGAGTACATCACATCTCAACCTGCTGTCCAGGGAGTGGGAGAGAGGCAGTATTGCCAGCTTCACCCACTTTGACCATCACTGATAATGGTAGGCTCATCATCACCGCCCACCACATGGTGTCTGTTCTGGGTACAATTTAGACATTTTCTTTTCTTGCATAGGTATTTATATCATGTGAATAGATGATATTATGTATGGTCTTTCATTTTCCTTCAGCTTTTTGGTGTCACTTTCATTTACACAAGACTGATTATTTTCATCAAAATAAAATAGAAATAGCTTTATATATCAATGAAAGAAATGCAGTTATATCCATAGAAAATATGGATGTAAATTGTTTTAACACATTTTTCCGTGCATGACAAGAAAAACATCATTCCTCATACACAAAGTTATTTTTCTTTTGTTGTTTTACTACCATTAGATCTTATTTTATAATTATATTATATAACTGTCCTTCTTTTTTTAAATTTTATTTTCCAGTTTAAATTTAGATAAGAAACAAGGTTGCTTCTCAAGTCAGTTCCAGGTCCCTCTCCCTTTCCCTCCCCTCTTAACATTTGGATTTTCTGTGATATGGAAATTTAAAAAATCCCAATGAGTCTAAAACTTATGTATTTTAAGATATATACCTGAATACCTCTTACAAATGACAAATTCTCTACTGTGTGTATGATTAACAGAACAGGCCATAACATCATTTATTAAGTTTGCCATTTGAGGCACAGTTATCTACAGTGTCTTATGCAATGCGAGTATATTCACATCACTTCTTTAAATCCTGATACCAGAACATTTTGAAACTGATGATGTTTTTTTAATCCAAAAGAGACACAGAGTATTTACAAGTTTTTTGTCTGATGAGTACATTGCAGCCTGTTACCTAGAAAGGCTGAGATTAAAAACACAGTACTAACAAAGAGGAAGAAATTATATCTATAATCATATTGGGAACTAACTGGAACATACAGTGATACTATTTCTGTTTTATAAGATATTCTTGATCACCAGATATGAGGGGAGTGGGATAAATATCAGAAATAAAAAACATTATGAAACAAAACAATAAGCAGATAATCTGTCATTTTGATACACAATATTATATTATTTCATATTTTATAATTTATGAAATATTTATAGGTATTTTCCTCAATGAATCGCTTTTAAACTGTGTAGAAATTTAATGTCATGGCAACATTCACTTTAGCTTTAACACTACGTGTTACCTGTAGTACTGTATCTATAGATGTCAAATATTTTATATTGGTTTTCAGATATTCTGAGCCTGGTCTTAAATAAGCAGCATATTGGTCTAATTTAATGCTCGTATTTTCATGATAAAATCTACTTACACTTATTACATATTTCATCAAATAGTATTTAATTTCTTATAATTCCCTACATTTTGGAAAGGGCCACATTTCCTAAAATGCTTTCTAAGTGATTATATCTTAAAATATTTCATGTAGAATTGCGTTGATTGTAGAGTATCTTCATGCATTGCCACATTTTTTATTACAATTTTGTTTTTAAAACTTTGATTTATTAACATCCTTTCTGGTTAAAGTTTCTCACTGTGTAGCTCTAGCTGGTCTGGAATTCTCCATGTAGACAAACTTAGGCTCAAACTCATAGAAATTCTCCTGTGTCTAATTTCTAAGTGCAGGAATTAATGGCATGTTCATCATGACTAGCAAGAATTTTGGTCTTTATAAAACCTTATCTGTGCATCAAATTAAAAGTCAATCATATTTAAAGATGATTCTCTAGTTATTCATTATTTAAATAGAAACTGGACAGAGGTGGAATTTGCAACTTTTCTAAAAGTATCATCTTTTTATAACCTTACGTTAGTACCTATAAATTTAAGGAATTCAGTGATTTATGATTTACATTCTTTTCTACCACACCAGCTTCCAATAACCTCTTACAAATGACCTTTGACAAATTTACTTACTTAAATAAGCAATCCCAGGTTATGCTGGTCAGCCCATTACTATATTGCTAGTTACATGTACAATTGTTGTGAGGCCGATGCCCCCATAAGATCCTTCAGTACAGTCAGTGTGGCTGAGACAACTTCAGGTAATTAGAGGTTAAGTTTTTTCTGCTTGTAGAACTCATCAGTTGAAACTGCTTCATCCCAGGAAGTTTCTCTTTGCTGTAGTTCTCGTGAAGATAGTTGAACATTTTTATTATTTTGAACGAAAACTAGAGCCTTTGTGTTGCAGGTTCCATTTATATTCATTGGCAGTCCTAAGTGCCCTACAGTGTTCCCTACTTGTTCTTTATTTTGACTTAACATTTTTTCACTTGAATACTAGTGGGCTGGTGTCAACATGTCTCCCTCTATCTCTGATATGGGGAGAGGTTCACTAGATGGTGATGACTCAGCTTTCCTGAACTTGCATTCTTTTCATTTTGACCATGCCAAACCTGCTGTCCAACATCAGCACCTGTCTGCCTGCTGCTTACAAGTGCCAAGAATGCAGCTGAGAAAACAATAATAAACATAACTAAAACATTCAGAGAGTTTTCAGGCCATTTTGTTTGGTAAGTCACTTGTGTGGTTCTCCAGTATAAATTTGAGGATGATAATACAGTGTCAAACATTTTGACACAAACTTAGCAGTCATCAGACTGATATGAGAGACACATGAGGAAAAATATCTCTGTTTATTTTAAGGAATATCTCTTTTGGGGTAAAACACACAACAAAAACAACAAAAAACCACCACTCAACTGCTACTTTCCCATGGCTTGAGTTGCGTGATCTTTCCTCTCAGGAACTCCGTGTTTAAGAATTGGCAAAAATGCCAAAAACAAAAACAAACCAAAACAACCCTTCTAGTTTTTTCAGAGTTTATCCTTTATGCTATAAGTTACTCATTTCAGCAGATTGGCTAAACTGAAATGAAAAAGTTAAAGATTCAGTTTCCCGTGTATATGGAGAGGGGCAAGCATGTGCATGTATGAAAGTGCCCGAGAAGACCAGGAGGGA